TTCTGTACTTTGCTTTACATCCTAATATCTATTCAAAGCATTATGCACAATCTGTATTTCTTAAACTTACATTCTTTATCATCTTACTGGTGAACACTGGTGAGACTACCTTCAGCTAAAGAATGTTCCCAGGAAGTTTGTTTCCACATCTTTAAGATTGAAACCTGAGCTGGGGCTTGATCATGTGAAATACCAAACTCAGCCAATTTACTAAAAAAGTGGATGGGATAGAAGAATCTACTTGGACACGTTTCTGAAAATACCCTCACCATCCCTTGGGAAATTATGGATTTTTCTTTCCCTGACCAGTGGAAGCAATTACATTTTGCCACAAATATGTTACTATCTTCTTTTTACCTCACTGTTCATAGATTTAGGAGTCTCTTTTTATAATCAGCAGAATCCAGGAATTTGTATATCTCCTGCCTGAGACTGAGAGACTCAAGCCTGATAATTTCTCAAAAGGAAATTGAAAGAATTCATGGTATCAGAGTGACCTTTTTAAAATCTATAAATAAATTTTTTTTCATTTACCTGCTAAAAATCTTTCAATGAATTTCCATTTCACTTAGAAAAATAACTAAATTTTTTGTTATAATCTTCTGGGTCACACAGAAGCTATCTCTTCCACCTCATCTCTGGGAACATCGTTCGTCACTCACCGTATTCCTGTCACAATGGCCTTCTGAATGTTCTTCAAACAAATTAAGCCGGGCCTGTCGCTAGGCCTTGTGCTTGCTCTTCTTCCACGTGGAAAGTGCCTCCACCGTACCTTAGGTGTGGCGGGCTTCTTGTCACACCAAGCCTAAACTCAAATTCTATGTCCTCAGGAAGGAGACGTGGATCTCCACTTCACTCAGTAACATATCAGCATGTCACCCTCGTCACTCTTTGAAATTATTTATATTCACTACGTATCTTCCTACTGCTAATAATGCAAACCTCGGAAGAGAATGGACATGTCTCCTTTTCAGCTGGAGCAGTGTCTAAGACATAGTTAATACTCCAAAACTACTTGTTGAATGAATGAATGAGGTAGATTGTCTCTAAAGGTGGCTGTCAATAACTTCTCCCATCCCTGTACATCTGCTAACATTTTTTCCAAGAAGTAGAGTCAATTTTCTGTCCCTTTTAATCTGAGCTGGCCTTGTGATTTTCCTTTGGCCAGAAGAATTCAGTGGATGTGGCATTGTGCCAGTTCTGGGCCTAGCCCTTAATAAATCTTGTGCTTCCACTTTTGCTATTTTTGAGTCCTGAGCCACAATGTAAAGGGTCCCAACAATTGGCTAAACGGAGAAGGCCTGAAAGATACAAGACTGCAAAAAGACATAGAGATGCTCAAGCAGGCATCAGCCATTCTAGGCAGCTCAGCTCAGCCACCAGGCTTAGGGAGGAAACTCTTGGATGCTGCAGCTGTTCTAAATCGCAGCAACCAATACCACGTAGAACAGAGACAAGCCAACTCTGCTGAGCACTGCCCAAATGCAGAATCTGAAAAAGCTGTTGTTTTAAACCAAAAAAGTTTGGAGTGGTTTGCTATGCAGCTGAAATAGTCATTGGTACCAGAAATTGGGTGCTGCTGCAACACACATCTAAAATATGTGGTACTGGCATTGGAACCTGGCAGAGTCTGGACAGTCAATGAGGAGACTATTAGTAAGAGCTGGAAGAGTAGTGAAAATATTGCTATCAGAGGCTAGAGAAAAGTAAATGCTTATTGAACAGTGCTGGAAACTTGGACTTGACTGCAGTAACTTGGAACACAGGAAACATTCCTGATGAACTTGTGGCCCTGGCTTAGGAGGTTTTTAGACCAAATGCTGAATGTACTAATTGCCTACTTTTATTTGTTTATAGTAAGGTAATGCAAGAGAGAGATGAGCTAAAAAAGGAACTGTTCTATTTTGAAGAAGAATTTGTAGAAACTACTATGGCCCCAGGACAATATCTTAGCTGGTAAAAGGTTCTCAGAGTAAGAAGCGGCCATAGAGAAAAGATAAAATCTAGGGTTCTGCCAGTAAAACATGACGTAAGGTAAAGTCCAAATGATGAGTGTTACTGGAAGACCCCTTGTTAAAACTTCTGAAAGTCTTAGCACCTCACAGATTGTCTCGGCAAAACAAACCTTTTGCTACATTTCTTTCAGTCTGTTTACACTCTGATGCATTTTACACGTAAATACATACAAGGGTACTTCCAAAAGTTCATGGAAAAATAGAATTAAAATATAATATGAATCCTTTCCATGAACTTTTTGAAGTACCCTGGTACATTTTACATAATTAGGATCATATTTTAAGTAAAGATTGCACCATATTTCAGGGTCATTGAGAACTGGATTTCGAGTGGTTATTGAGAACTGGACTTGGAGATAATTGCTTACAACACACACCTGTTCATGCAGGGTTCCTAAAATGTATTAAATATATCTCCATTCCCACATATCAGCAAAGATCTGTGATAAGAACCAAATCATAAATGTCTATGGAAAAATAATTTTTAATAAATATGCTTTGCTATAATTTCATCTGCATATATTCAGGCCATATGTAAATATTTTTAAAAGGCATTGAAACTTATTATTGTCTTGTGAAGTTTATTGTAGAGGATGTTGTTTATCCCATTTCATAATATTCTATTATAAAGATCCTATTGACAAATTTCTTTCTAATTTTGGTACCAAAAATTTACCTGTCTCCTAGTAAGTCATTGTTTATACGTTGTGGACAGGCCTGAACTATGTAACTACTAATCTGGTTTTCCTCTTCAAAGTATAGAGTAAGATAAGATTTTTACTCCGCTGCAAAAAATGTATTTGCAGTCTTGAAATTGGTTCTCTGACCCTATCATTGAATTAATTTTTTTTGCCTCCACATTTAATTTTTTTCTCTCAGAGAGAATTTATCCTTATAAAGTATGTGTAATACTTTTTTGTAAAAGGCAGAGTTTTAGTGAATTAACTATTTGATTACTTTTCTGTCTTATTTTTCCATTGATAATGTAATTAGCATTTTCCCACAATTTTAAGAACTGTATAATATTTTGTTATTTTGTTATAGGATCATATTATAGATTTAGTAATTTTTTTTTTTTTTTGGTGGCTTGCCAGTAGGGGGATTCAAACCCTTGACCTTGACATTACAAAGTGGCACTCTAACCAAGTGAGCTAACCAGACAGCCCTAATATTTTGTTACATGAATGCACCATTATTTAATTAACCATACTCACTATTGGAGATAATAGACTGGTATTCATTTTATACTATTGTAAAAATTGTGATAAACAACTCTGCACTTAAGTTTTTTCTCCACATATCTGACTTTTTCTAGGACTAGAATTTCCTGCTTAAAGGCTCTTGAAATGTATTAGTAAATTGCTTTAGAAAGACTGGAACAATTTGCATCTTTACATCAGGGTGCCTACCTCAACACACCTTGCCAGCACTGAGTATTATCATTTTTCAGGACTTTGTTAATGTGACCAGTAAAAGGGTATTAAATAATTTAATGCACATTTCTTGAATTATTAGTGAGAGCCTGTATTCTCAATGATGCTTCCTTTATTTAATATCATATTTTCAAGTATCATCTCATCTATCTATTCTATAGATCTGTGTCTATCCATGTGCTAATTCTACAATTTCAAAAAGAAAAAACACTTAATAGATGATATGGTCTAAATGTTTGTTTCCTCTCAAATTTGTATGCTGAAAATCTTATCATCAATGTGATGGTATTAGGAGGTGGGGCCTTTGGGAGGTGTTCCGTCATGAGAATGGAGTCTTCATAAATGGGATTAGCGCTCTCATAAAAGAGGTCTTGAGAGCTGCCTTGTCCCTTCACCATCTGAGGACACAGAGAGAAGGTGCCATCTATGAACCAGAGTGAGCCCTCACCAGACATGGAATTTGCTGGTGCCTTGGTCTTGAACTTTCCAGCCTCCAGAACTGAGAGAAATAAATGTCTTTTGTTTATAAGCTACCCAGTTTATGGTATTTTCTTATAGCAGCCCAAATGAATTAAAACAATAGAAAATTTTCAATTTACAAGTATTAATATTACTATTATTCACAAAGTCCAATGCTGAGTATCTCTCCTAAGTAAATAATCCAAAAATATAAAAATATTTATGCAAATATTTATCCACTACAACAATATTTACAATAGAGAATAAGTCATAATATAAATACCCAACAATACTGAAATGGTTATGAATAATATACCTGTAGAGTAAAATATTACATATTAAAATATTTTTACAAGTTGCTAATGATAAAATGTTAAAATATATTGGAATTAAAGGACATTTTTCAATTGTCAGTATGGAAAAACTTCTGCTATACAATGATTAATAATATTAACAAAAGATTTTTTTCTACTACATTTTTAAAAAGTGAAATGAAGGAGATAACTCACAAAATAATAACAGTGATTAAATTTTAGCTAGTAGAGCTATGGGTACTTTATACTCTCTTCCCTGGAACTTCCATTATTTTGGAATTTCACCATGCTATGCTTCTCTTTGTTTCCTTGTAAATCTACTCAATGTTAAGGTGGAACTCTATGTTTAAAAATATAATGCTTTTATTATTAATATAAATTGTCATTTTAATTACATTGCCAATATCCCAATCTCTACCCATCGATATTTTTAATATCCCTTAACTGAAAAAATTCAAAACATCATCAAAGAGGAAACTCTTATTTTACAAGTTTACCTTTTCTGATACAAGTCTAGTATAGTTTTAATTTAGGACCAAAGGAAAAGAACAAATACTGTTTGAAGAGGGGAAAAAAATGTATGGAAGAGAAAGATATCAAATATGCCAAATTTTTGATTTTGTAACTTAATAGAAACAATCCACACTGGTGTGGTCAAATAATTCATCTTCTGAAGTGTTATCACATCAGTCAAGGTTATATGATCTCAGCTCACTGCATGCTTTCGGTTCAGTCTAAATTTCTCAATGAAGGACAGTTAGTAAAATCTTGACATGTACCTGTCAAATGATGGCTTCTCTCCACAGTCAAAGGCATCCTGGAGCTCCTTCACAAGATTAGCCTGGCCTGGCAGTCGAAAGAGACCCTCTTCTTTCAGCCCCCTTTGTCGGATAAAGTCCACACACTGCTCCACCAACATTGGAGCCAGACGGTTCCCATATCTCTTCTCGTAACGAACAGTGTCTTCCAGTTTCTGTCCAAATATGCCTGGAAAAGAAAGGATCAGAGTGAATTTTAGAAATTTATCTTTTCCCACTTGGTTCTTTTCTTTTTAAACTCAATGTAAAGGAAAAACAAATATTAGGATGCTAGCAAGCGCTTAACATTAGGTATTTCATGTTATTATACAATTAAAATCATTGTATACAATTCTTCAAA